AGAAGTATTTCATCGTATGACGATACTACACGTTCCTTTACTCATTTTCCTAGTTATGGACAGCTGGGTTATTTGCAGCTTGTTGGTTTTGTTGTTGTCGTGAATAAAGCTGCTGTGAGTTTTCATGTCCAAGTCTTTGTGGACATATGTTTTTATTTCTCTTGAGTAATTACCTAGGAATGGAACTATTAGGCCACAGAGTAGGAGTGTTTTTATCTTTGTGAGAAACTGCCAGCTCTTCTAAGAGTACTAGAGCCATTTTATATTCCTACCAGCAACACACGAGGATTCTTATTGTTGTCCTACATCCTTGTCAACACTTGGTATTGTCCGTTTAAAAAGTTTTAGCCAGTCTAATGGCTAATGTGAAATAATATCTCATTGAGCTTTTACTCTTCATTTCTTGGATGACTAATAATGTTATACACCTTTTTATATGTTTACTGGCCACTTATGTACCTCCTTTTTTTAAAAATTGAGTTGTCTGACATTATTGATTTGTAGTTCATTATGTATCCTGGATACAAATGCTTTTTGAAATATATGTTTCAAGAATATTTTCTATCATTTTATGGTTTGCCTTTTATTATTCTTAAAGACATCTTCTCAAGAGAAGAAAACTTGAATTTTAAGTCCAATTTACCAATTTTCAATTTTTCATTTAATGTTTTTTGTGACCATTTTAAGGTAGAAATCCTTGCTACCTTGATGTCATAAAGGTCTTTTTCTATGCTTTATTCTAGAAGCTTCATGGTGCTGGCATTTGCATCTCAAATTAATGTGTGTGTGTGTATATGAGGTAGGGGTCCAGGCTCCGTTTCTCCTTAGGCGGCTTCTGTGGTTTCAGGGCCATTTGTTAAGAAGCTTTCTCTTTCTCCCTTGAACAGCCTTGGGGTCTCTGTCAAAAATCAATGGACTGTGTACATGTGGGCCTATTTCTGGACTGTGGTCTGTTCTATCAATCTAGTTGTCTACCGTTGGAGGGTCTGGGCGGGTGTGTGGACATTGTAGGAAGCAAATGAGGTCTGAGCAGATAGTCCAGGCAGGAATTGGTGGTGCTTGGATTGGGTGGTCAGCGAGGAAGCCGTGAGAAGGGGCAGATGGGAGATATATCATGAGGCTGAGCCACCAGGGCCTGTTTGGATGGATGGATGGATGGATGGATGGATGGATGGATGGATGGATGGGTAGGTGAATGGGTGGATAGGTAGATGTTTGGGTGGACGGGTGGGTGGGTGAGTTATTTTCTTAGTGGACACTCAACATTCCTGGGGGGACCTAGAGGAGCCCTTCCTTGAAATCCACAGAGCTGTCCTTGCATCTTCAGGCTCAGGAGTGGTGAGGGCAGCTCGTATCACCAGGATCTTCTGCATTCCCTGAGCAGATAGGCATCATCTTACATTTCACACTGTGGCTTCATCTCTCCCCCATTCTCATCTTCAGAGCATCTCTTCAAGTGGGTGGATGCAGAATATGGGCAGAGAGGAGGAAAAGTAGATGGCCGCCAGCTCTGTGGCTAGATCATTGGGAAGAATGTAGCTGCCATCTACTGAGATGGGCTCCAGACACCCAGGACTCTTGGTCCAGATCACAAGAAAGGCACAAACCCAGTGAGACAAAAGTTCCGAAGAGGCACATTCAGCGAGGAGGGATGGGGGAGGGTCAGTGAAGTCTTCCTGGAGGGGGTGGCATTTGAGCCAGGGAGGGCATCCCTGCAGGAGCCAAGGCTCACTACCGGGACACATGTCCCCACCCTTGCTGGCCTGACTGCCAAAGTCCTTGTGGGGTGACTGGATTCTGGGCCCCGAAGGCCCCCCCTCCATTCTCCTTCTCCCCTAGAGTGCAGGGTGCCCTGATTGTCCAGGGTGCATATACTCACGGCCCCTCCAGTGCCCAGCACTCTTCGTGGGTCACACCCACCTTCTCGTGGGTCCTCACCCAGTGGTTACAAACAAGGACTCTGGGGCCGCCTGACCCTGGCTGGTTGCCCTAGGAAAATTCCTCTAAGCCCAAGTCACTCTGTAAGACAGGAATAATGACAGCGTCTCTCGGCGGCCTTGCAGGGTCACTGCACGGTTTTGAGATCTGGCAGGAAGCATCTTTCAGAGAGCTGGTCTCTGAGCATGTGCTCGAAACACTCATGCGTTTACTAGTATTCTCCTCCCTCAACAGGTCAGAAAACTGAGGCTCAGAGACATGAGAGGCGAGATCTCACTACTGGACAGCAGTTGAGGTAGGATAGGAGGGTAGCCCAGAGGCCTCTTTAATCACCTACCCAGCTAGGCCCCTTCACCTTGGTGGCCCCGCTGTGCCTCCCATGTCCCTGCTTCCTCAGCGTGCACACGCCTTGCTCCGATGATGGGAGTGAGGTGCCCACAGAGGCAGCTCCGGTTGAGGGATTAGGGCTGGGCCAGGCACGTGCTTCACTGTGGCCTGGGGTAGAGGGCTACGCAGGCCGTGGCAACACACCCATTCCTGCTGGGAGATGTGAGCAGCCAGCTGCCTTTCCCAGCTGCTTTGAAGTTCCAGTCTGGTCTTTGGTCTTTCTCCTCCTCATTCTCGGTGGGGCGAGGCCAGGGAGTCTTCCCAGCGGAAGCTAGTGCTCCCACGAAAGAGGCAGGGAGCACTATCCTTGGAAGAGCAGCTCGAAGAAAGGTCAAGGCTACTCTGTGGGGGCAGGAAGGGACCATGGAAAGATGGAGGGTCCCGAGGGAGGCGTGAGGGGCTGGTGAGGTGGGAGCCCTGAGAGGGGTCCCAGCGGGCTCTGGGTTGAGAGGCCCCAGCGCCTTAGGGGGAACTTGTGATGTCTCCATAGAATGACAAGTAAATAGGATCTGGGGGTGGGTGCTTCTGAATCCTTCCCTACTCCCCGTGAGCCAGTCTCCCTGGGTCTCAGTTTCCTCATCTGTAATATGGGATATTAGTGCCTGCCTCATGGGGTTATCAGGGCAATCCGTGAGTTAATGCTAACAGCAACACTCCGTGGCATATAGTAGGTGTTTAGTAAAGGTTAGCCATTGTTAGTAGTTTCTGCGTGGACAGAGGGCCTGTGGGAATCAGAGGGCCATTTTAACGGGCCTCTGGGGAACCACTCCACAGCCAGCCAAGGCACTTGGTCTCGAAGCTGGTGAGTTTGATGGCTGGCATTGTGGGGCGTGGAGAAGGCGCCCACAGACCTGGCTTGAAAGCCCAGCTCTTCTACACATCTGTTAGTGACTTGGCAATGGACTTCACCAGCCCGATCCTCAGTTTTGCTTATCTGCCAAATGGAGCTATGCGATCAACTTGTATTCGTGGGGACTGAATGGGGTCATCCTTATAGATGTTCCAGGCGCACGATAAGTATGATCTGTACAAGAGAGTCTTTTCCTTGGCATTGGGTGTGGAGGGGGTGTTGGGCTTTGTGGTAGTCCAGCCAAAAACAGACCACCCCCTTGCACCCCACTGGGACGTGCAGCAGTCCCAACCCTCACCATTCACTGCTGTCTGTCCTGGGTCATGGGCAGCCTAGGCTACAGGTTGTGGATGGCTCCCTGTAGCCCCGACAACTGCTGGAGTCTTGGAGGACAAGTCCAGGTCTCTTGGGCTCAGGGAACAGTTGCTGGGACTGTAACTCAAGGCTCAAAAGGTTGTAGGCCAGAGGACCAGGGCAGGTCACCCTGTGCCCGACCCCCACCTCGACCCACCCAGCTGACACAAACAACCGGCCAGACAAGAGTTTTGTATATACATCTCTGGTAGAGAAGATTCCACCTCACCCCTCTCCCTGCCCCGAATCAGCTGGGAGGAGAAGTAAAAGGGGGAAGGAGTCAGTCCTTAGGGAGCTGCTTGGAGGATGTCCTGGGTTGGTGCTTTGTGGGAAGAGAAAGCAGATCGCAGACAGGAATTGGGTTCTCAGACTGAGCTGGCCCTGGGTGCCCCGTGTCCCACCTCCTACATGACCACAGATGACAGGGTTTTTTCACTGTACTTAAAAGTGTAAGCCAGAGTGATATCCTCCCAAGTCCTTTGTGTTCCTGACCTCAACCTGGCAAAGATTCCCAGGACTTCAGTATTCCTGACGCTGACCCAGCAAGCCTACAGGCCCGTGACCCTTACCTAGCAACTGTCCCCTGAGCTCCTGGTCTCTTAGTAGATCCAGAAAACCTCCTTATCACCTCCTATGTTCCCAAGTGTGACAAAGAAAACCTTTCCTGACCTTGCCACGACCTTCCATGTTCTCCCCATGACCCAACAAACTTCCCCTGACCTCTCGTGTTTCTGATGCTCACTTGAAAAATCTCCTTGGCCTACCCTGGACCCCCCTCTGGCTTTCTATGTTCCAGACTTGAGCCAAAAACTTCCTTAAGAAACTCGACTCTCATGGGTTCTTCACTTTCCCAGCAAACTTCCCTAGGATGTCCAGTTTCCATTTTCAACCTGGAAAACATCCTGTTTTTAACATAATTCCAGCAAGTTTTGCTGACTTTCCATATTCTTTATTTTGACTGCAAACTCCACTGACCTCTCATGCTCCTGACTCAAATTTCTTGATCTCCCCTGACCTCTGTGTTCCCGACCCTATCCAGCAACTCCCCTGATCTCCCTGACCTTTGTGTTCTTGACCCAACCCAACAACTCCCAATCCCCCTGACCTCTGTGTTCCTGTCCCAACTAGCAACTCCCCCGATCCCCCTGACCTCTGTGTTCCTGACCCAACCCAGAAACTCCCCCGGCCTCCCCTGACCTTTTGTGTTCCTGACCCTCCCCAGGAAAGCATGTCTCTGACCTCTCCTGTTCCTGCCCCAGACCAGCAAACTACCCTGGCTTCCAGGAACCTCCCACGTTGTCCAGTGCAACTCAGTAAGGCTCCGTAAGAATGCTGATTCTGTCTTCGGTGCTGAGCCTGACTGGTTTGCTCCATCTCCTCACCATCTCCCTGGCTGCCAGCAGCCCTGGGACTCTAACCCAAGGCCCCCCAAGCCCAGGGGCTCTACAGAAGGGCCCCAGCCAAGCCTTACCCAGCGTGACCTCTGCCTGCATGGGCATCGACAGCGCTGGGTGCTTGACCTCGCAGCTGAAGAGGGCCTCGTTGTCGATCTGCGGGTTGAGGGTCCAGGTGAGCAGGGCGCGTACCTCCACGGTGCCATCGCTGCCTGGGGTGCGGCTGTGGCGCAGGAAGTAGATGGGCTCCGCACTGTGGACCCAGCGGGGGAACTCGCGGCTCACGACCGTCTCTGGAACGTTCTCCGTGGTCGGCTGAAGGAGGATGCTGGGATCCGGGGTCAGGCCATGGGAGGGCCGCTCCGTGTAGGGTCGCCCACCCCGGCTCTCGGTGTCCAGGAGGGACAGTGACTTCTGCATCTTGGTCTCGTCCAGGTCACGGTGCAGAAGGCTGCGAAAGGGCCTGCTGTCCTGGAGGGGGCCAGAGCTCGCAGTCAGTGGCTCGGATAGGGGGACTGCATCAATGGGTTCCCCATCTCGTTTGAAATAAACCTGAAATGGAAAGGGGCGCGGGTGAGAATATTTATCCAAATGACCTAGACCTCCTAACGGGCTCTGATGAACTGGCCATAGGATGCTGGTTCTTCTGGAGACTTCTCCGCCTAGAATCCTTCTCGATGGATCCAAAGCCCCAACTCCTTCCCTCCAGCACCAAGCATGCAGGCCCTGGGGGCAGAGCCTTAGCCAAACCCATGTACCCACTGGTGAGACTTCCAGAGCCTGGTTCCTCAATCATCCAGGGGAATAGGAACACCTACTTCATGGGGCTCTTGGATGCTTAAATGAAACAAGAGGGGAAACAAGGGCCCTAGACTTGTCCACGGTGGCCACGTGGGCTTTGAGGGCGTGGCCCCCGCCACTCAGGAAGGGCTTGTGAATGAGGGAGAGACGGGAGGCCCCAGAGGTGAAATGAAGTCGGAAGAGGTTGGAGGGAGCCGGATTGTGTGTGTGTGTGTGCACGCCTCTGGGAGACGGAAGGGAGGAAACAGGTGCGTGTGTGGGAGGCAGCTAGGTGCGGGAATGCGGTCACACACATCTACTCGCTCTCTCTGCTAATGGGGAATTCAAGTTTTGAGAGGCAGCATTTAATTTAATTTGCTGTCTTTTTATTTTGGTACATGCGCCCAGAGGCCTGTGGGGATTGGGTGTGTTTTTTAATAGATCAGATAAATGAATCGATAGATAGAAGACGGAGAGGGGAGGGTAGGAAGCAGCTCTCAGGGACTGGAGGAAGGTGTGGGGGAGGGGGTGGAAGGAG